TTTGTTGTAAAAACAACAATTAAAATATAGGGCAGGAAGGAGAGGTCTCTGAGGGAGTACCAGATGAAACAAAGTCTTTACCTGCTGGCAGAAGACAGTGATAGAAAAGGACAAAAGAATGTCCCTGGAGTGGGAGTCCCATAATTTTGGTGCTGCAGCCAAGTAAGCCATCTCTCAGGTTGCCACTCATCTAACCTCAGAAGGCACAGCCACTCAAAGCAGGGCCTTATAAGACGATCGTAGCAGCTGGGTAGGTTCATATCTGAGTAGGCAGTCCTTAAGGTATGCTGGTCCCAAACCACAGACAGCTTTAAAAGTCAGCACCAGCACCTTGAATTAGGACAGGAGATAAACCGATTATGTCTATGCTGCTGCTCTGCAACTGCCAATAACATCAGAGTACAGATATTAAATGTAAATACAAATATTTTTGTTCCTTTACTTTGGCTTATCAACAGGTAAATTTAGAAACATTTAACAGACTTTTAACAGGAGACATCCAACCATACATGTAAGCTTAAAAGTAGTTCTTCTAAATGTCATAGTACTAATAAAAAACAAAATACAAAATGTATGAAGTAGATCTTCTTGCCATTTGCTGCTCCAGAAAAAAAATGTTCCAAATACACATTTGCAGCACATTCTACTGAGACTTTCTGGCAGAATCCTTGGAATACTATAGAAAAGTAATACAATATAGGAATCTTAACTGAAGTCAGAGGTACTTTTAACTAATATGCATATGACTGTGCCTTTAAAACTCATATCAACAATGTTTGTTGTACTTGAAGAAGAAGAAATACAAACTAATTTTATTTCTTTAATTTATTTATAAAACATGTGATTTATGACTTACAAAATTAGTTTATTCTGTTTTGAGGTTTTGTGATGAGACAAAGGTGAGAGTCTTGTTCTCTTCAAATATTTGTCTGTAATCCTCCATGCAATAGCTCTTCTCTCTCTCAGTTTCACAGTTGTAAGCACAGATGGCTTACAACATAGCTCTATGAAATCTCTAGAGACAAACATCAGCTTTTGCCATTTGCACTGTTGTTCAAAGTTTATTTTTAAATTAATGATACACTATTTGCAAGGGAACAAAATTTACACTTAACATTTTTTCTGCAATGCCAAATGGTAAGATCTGCTTTATACATTCTGCATTTTGTTTTTATTGTTGTTGTTAATTTTCAGAAGAACTGTTTTTAAACTTATGTGGTTGAATAGTTTTTGTAAAAAGTTCCTTGTTGGTACACACGTATTGTATGCTCTGACTGGAATTCTTCTCAACTGTCCTATAAACTTGCAAAGATATGCCATAAATGTGTTTGTCCCTCTTTTCTACCCCCCAAACTGCTTCTCTGAGGTCTCTAGATTCCAGTTCAAAGGAGGGCCCAAGACATCAGGCATAGCTGGAACTTGAGTTTCAAAGGTTGCCATTTCCAGCAGCCACAACCCCCTCCCCAATTGTAAGACAAACAGCAGTCTTGTGGCAATTTAAGACTAACACGTTTTTATTCCAATATAAGAGCCCACTTTGTCTAAGGCATTGACTTTTTGTGTCACCTGATCCCTGCTAGTGGGTTAGAAACAGCAATACCAGCCTTCAGTTGTCTGCAGTTGATGACGCTCAAGCACAACAATACATGCTGAGATCAGGTTAGCGGGTTCCCCTGCCTGCAAGCTACTACTAATCCTTGGTTCAAGATTTCTCATACTTTACAGACGCAGCACAGAACACCACTTTAGTAGTTTTAGCTTATCTATAACACATGTGCTTGGAACACTGCATATAAGCTGGAACTTGCGGCTGGCATGGTAAAAATGTTGGTGAGGCTCATGAAACCCTAACTTAAATAATAGCTCCATTTCACATTCTTACTACATAAATATATCAGTTTCTCCATTTGCACAGCTACTATAAATTGCATAATATAGTGATTTTTTAAAAATCTATTAGGAAAAACTGGACTGAACATCCCTTGTGTATGTGTTACTACATTTCCTGGTTCACAAAACTGTAGATAACTCCCCCATTTTCAAAAAACAACTACATAAATTGTAGCTGTTGTATTCCCTGAGGCAATTATAGGTAGTAATGACTATGGGGAGCTATTCATTGAAAATTATATCCACAACTGTGAAATATATTAAGTTACACAAACGGAGAGCTCTTATCCAAGTACTTATCATCATTCTCCTTAGGGTCCTTCTCACATTACTACGTACACCTCTATGTATGTGTGATAAGTGCCTATCAGCCATTTATCTAGGCACTTTTCAGATGCATTAGAGCTAATTAAAATAAATATTAACTGGATTATCACTGACACACTAGAAACTACTTGGTTCTTAGGGTTCCTTTATTTACAGCTCGTAGCACCACGTGAAGTTTTAAAGTATGGTGTGCAGACATTCTCACTAGTACAAATGGTTCAGTGCATCATGAAAAAGCACCTTGTATCACTATGGCCTATGAAGATTCTTATTCTTCACACCCCCATTCCCCACTACTTCCTTTTGTTGAAATATTCAACATAGATCTAATATACTAACTATGCCTAGATTGATTTCTTTTTTGCTTTTATAATGACCAGTCTGCCTAGCCTGCAATCCTAAAACCACTGTAGGAGTAATAGTCAAGTAAATCCAATAGGATTTATTTCTAATATTTTTTAGAATGCTAAAAGGGCACTTTGCTTACTCATCTATTTACACATCATCTAGAAAAGTAGGCACTCTGCTCCTAAATGGGTTTTGTGGAGAAATGCCATCTTTCCATGGGCTGGACAGGAGAACACTATTAAACTTTAGGTAGACCTTGGCCTAATCTCCTCCCCATTCCAACCAGTAATCTGAGGACAACTCCCTAGAAAGGACAGGAAATCCATCAATGTTATGAGGAGATCTGCCCCAGAATGCTGCAGGAGGGAGAGCCAGTTCCTGGCGGGAACTGTGGTATATATTATTGAGTTTTTGGGCAGGAAGCCAGTCAGTTGGTTGGTTGGATTTTGCAAGAGACCCTGCTCCTGGGCCAGAGATGGTGGCCATTTGGGGGGATATGTTTGCCCAGTTTACTCCAGACTAACCTGTACCTGCTACCACCTAGATAGAGCATGAGTTTAGAGGAGGGAGAGAGATGAAGCGTTTTGTCAACATTATTTTATTTCTTCCATTCACTTCTGATGTGCCTGTATATAGTTGTGAGGCATTCACTTCTGATGTGCCTGTATATAGTTCTGAGTTTTAAATAAATCCTTTGATAAATCCTTTGATTGTTGAAGGAGAGAAGTCCCTCTGTACCACATAGTTCCCCCAGCCACTTGGAAATGCTAGGAGTGGTTCAGGGAGGAGAATGGTAAAATGGCCAGTTGCCAACTCTCCAGGGGAGCCCCAAAGATCCCTGGGAAGCCCTGAGGCAGGTTCCTAGGGATGCCAGAGGGAGGTTAGGAGATTGTCCTGCCTAAGCAGAGCCCGAGACAGGGACAGTGGTGGCAACAGTACCCTGAGGCAGTTGAGTGACCCAGCCCCTTCAGGAGCTGGGTCAGGCAAAGGAGGGGTAGGCAGAGTGGGGCCTGTCAGCTGATGCAGGCCCGGTCTGCCACAGGTTTGTGCAGCATTAAGTCCCCCTGGTCAATTTTCTAAATAGTAGTCGTAGTATTCTTTATTACAGTCATAAACCAGCATAACACAAAACAAGATATTACGCATCCATGACTTTCAGTTAAAAATGATACCAATATACATTAAAAATTAAAATAAATTATATACAAATGTGATAATTTTGAGTGAGTAAATACAATAGTTGTAACAATATTGTCCAAAATTATGCAGTACTTGATGTGACCTGTGCATTTCCCCCCTAAATTCAGATCATAGTCAGGTCTCAGTAATTACAAAAGCAATATCCTTATAGCTTCAAATGCCTTCGTGGGATTACTTAAGCCATCTCAATTGCTTTACTAAACTGTTCCTTGAACCATATAGATATCTCTAGATTGAGATGCATTGTTAAATCTTATGGTGTTATAGTGTAAAGTTGTGTACCTGGTGTTGATGATAGGGCTACTCTCCAAGAATTACAGCTGATATCCAAGCTATAGAGATCATCTGCCTTGGAGGAAATGGCCACTTCAGAGGATGGACTAAAATATTATGTTGGGTTTTGCAGACTGCTGCGCAAAATTATGCAGTACTTGATGTGACCTGTGCATTTCCCCCCTAAATTCAGATCATAGTCAGGTCTCAGTAATTACAAAAGCAATATTCTTATAGCTTCAAATGCCTTCTTGGGATTACTTGAGCCATCTCAATTGCTTTACTAAACTGTTCCTTGAACCATATAGATATCTCTAGATTGAGATGCATTGTTAAATCTTATGGTGTTATAGTGTAAAGTTGTGTACCTGGTGTTGATGATAGGGCTGCTCTCCAAGAATTACAGCTGATATCTAAGCTATAGAGATCAGCTGCCCTGGAGGAAATGGCCACTTCAGAGGATGGTCTCCACGGCATCACATTCTTGCTGAGCCTCCTCCCCTGTCCAAATTGTGCCCTCCCCAGGCACCACCCCCAGATCTGCAGGAATTTTCAACCTGGAGTTATCAACCCTAGTTGATGATGAGACTGATTTGTGGGTGGGTAATGTGTAAAGAACCCTGCTACAGGGTATGGCAACAGACTACTTGTGAAGTTAATGTAATCTGAAATATACTCTATCGAGGAAAGTATATTTTAAATGATAAGTAAATTAAGAGGGCTGTTGATGTGGTCAGAAAATCAATCTTGTTCTACAGGAAATGTATTTAAATGAGTATTTTTTCAAAGAACTGAAAAATATATAATATTTCTACTGTTGATGGGAACTAGTTTTTGTATTCATGCTCTTCTTTGCTACAGTATGAAGTAGCCATTATTTGTGAATGTCCAGGTGTTATTTCAGTCTATATAAATATACATACATATATTTTTAAAATCCAATATTGAACTTGTCTTTACAGTTTGTGAAAAGCAGATGAAAGTGGTTTTCAGAGACTCACCAGAAGAACATCTCCAGCCCTTTAAGGATAAATTGGAAGATTTTTCCCTCAAAGGTATGTGATTTACAAAGCAACTGTGACCTGTGCATTTTTTCCCTAAATATTGCAAGTTCAGATCATAGTACTGGAATTAGATTGTATTTGACTGCTATTTTCTGATGTCAGAAGGGCACTTCTGCTAATAGATAAAGGGGGAAATTTTGCTGATTTTTTCCCCACTGTAGGCTTTGCCTCTGCATTATGTTTGCGAATAGTCTCCCAGCTCCCATTACCAAAAATAGGGAGGGGGGGGACATGAATTACAGCAACATATAAAGTGGTGTCACATATAAAGTGATAATTATGACTCTTTGAAGATTTGGAGGACATATTGCAGAGCTTGTGATCCACATATTCATTTTTTTTTTTAGCGCCACCAATATATTTTCTTATAGCTGTCAGACTCCGGCAGTAATCAGTTCCCAATAGCTTTCATTCAAAGAAGTAAAGTTTATTGAGACGATAGTATGCAGATATCTTAACCATTTTGTGTTAGAACTAAATAAGAGCACGCGAAGCAAGCAGTTATACATCATTCAAGGAGGCCTCCTGATGGACCAAGGCCAATCAGGGGTCAGGTAGAAGCTGACCAAAATAACAGGCATCAGTTCCCAAGAGGGCTGCTCATGAGCTAACCCATCATTGGCTTGAGCAGCTGGGTGGACTGGGGGGGAATGCCCTTGGTGGTTGAGCAGCAACAACTGAGCCCTTACTTACTTAGGGTTGCCAAGTCCCATCTTCACCCCCAGCAGGGGACTTTGGGGGGCGTTCCTGGAGGGAGCGGGGCATCCCTGACATGAAGACATCACATTGGGGATGTCCACCCGCCCGATCTTCCAGTAGCGCTGGCTCCCTGCACTTAAAGGCGCCCCTTTAAGTGCACGGGGTGGCGTTCCCCTCCGCGCGCGCGTGGAGATTGGGCATGCAGGAAATGCCAGCTCCCTGCACTTAAAGGGGCCCCTTTAAGTGCACTGAGCTGGCATTCCCCCCCGCACGCCCGATCTCCATGGATATCGGGCACGTGGCCCGTAGCCACCTTTCTCCCTCCTCTCTCTCAAGAGAGAAGGGAGAGGGGTGGCTGCGGGTGTTGGGGCTTGGGGGCAGGGCTTTCCGTGGCGGCCAGCTGCCTGGCAGCGGGTAGAAGCCCCCAAAAAGTGGGGGGGTCTGCCAAACCGGGGGGGGTGTTGGCAACCCTATACTTGCTGGAGTGGCATGTGAGGGATAAAGGTTAACACCTCTTGGGAATGTTTTATGTGCATGTGAGGATAAGTGAAACTAGCAGTAACACTGGCTATGTTTAGAGCCAGAGTAGGTTTTCCAAAAAGTCTGGTAGATGTAGTAGGCTGTTTGTCAGTGGCAACTCACACTAATTCAGAAATGTTTTAGATCAGCAGTCATTAATAAATTAGTTAGCCCACATACTAGTATCTTGTTTCCTTATATGGAGGTAATGGTACAAAAAAAGTTAATACAGCTACTAAGTACTGGAGAAAATTTTAATCATATACCTGTAAACTTATTTGAGGTTATTGGAAGCAGTGTTGTTGTTGTTGTTGTTGTTGTTGTTAATTAGTTTTATACCCCGCCTTTCCCACTTTACAGCCGGCTCAGGGCGGCTTACACTAGTCAATACAACAATTAAAATCACATAAAAACATATAAAACAATCATAAATTATAAAGTGCTGCATAATAAAGTAGTTGTTATGAGATGGCGGACATTAAATTGTACACAAGGTCTCACCATCATTCTGCTCCTGATCTTCCTAACTCTCGGGCAGTGCCAGCTAGATGTCAAGGGCCAAGATAATTATGCAAATATAAAATTAATTTATTAAATTATGTTGCAGTTGCAAATATTCCTGTATTGTTAATTTAAAGTTGCTGGAGCTGTAAATATACTGAGGATCAGGCTATATATTCCATTGATACCAACAGAACAAATTAGATGTCTTAAACTTTAGTTGTATTGGGGCCAACCAATATTCTAAAGTATCAGCTGAATGAAATCACTTCACCTTGTTGATCCTTGATTAGAATGTAGAATGCTTAGACAGTGTTTTAATATTTGCTAAATAGTTGAGGAACAACGCAGAGTCAAATCTGGTTAAATCCTATTAAATACAAAAATAGGACTTTTTATATACTCACTTTTTTCTGGATTGCACTTCTAGACATCATGAATTACATTTAGGAACACAGATCTCATATTGTCATGGCAGTTATATGAGACACTCCAAAGGCAAAGCAGACCCAATTGTAACTATTGTGGTGCCAATACAAGGAAACTGATATTCCCAAATGGGCAATAACTCTCACTAAGTCTTAAGCAATTTAGAAGCACGTGTCTGAAAAATCTCATGCACAGTGACTCAGTTTTATTTTGTGAATGGGTATATTTACAATTTATTTTTTCTTCAAAAAGCATAGCTGTTTGCTACATCTGTATGAATGTGCTCTTCAGACACAGCTAGACACTTCTTCCCAAATTCATATAAACTACTTAATATAGAGAAAGAAAGTTTAATATGTTTTAACAGTAAAATTATAAAATTATTTGTGGTTGATCATTCTTCTTCAAATTTGAGGTATGCATTTGTGTTAAATTTCTCATAATGTATTCCAACCATGCACTAATGATACGTTTCCAAACAATGTAATGTATGTATTAAATTTATCAATAAACTTAGCAGGGTTCCTGCTAGAAAAGGCCTCCGCAGTAGGACTGTTTGAGTCCTGGGTATGTCTGTTCTGGTGGTCTTTTCATCTCATTTAATTAGCAGTTTATATTTATGGCTCCAGCAGTAAGTGCATTTCAGAAAGCGCTGTGTATATGTGCACATTAACACCAGCAGTCTCCCACACTTTGATATATATTGCCTTTCACTAAGCTCTCTATGCCAGTCTTCTACCCAAATTAAGCAACCCTAAATAACAAACCAAAAACATATGGAGAAGTATTTGCTAATATTTTCCTAATGCTGTTTCCTGCAAACTAACAAATTATTTTTTCCAGAGTATTGTATTATACTTGCGTTCTGATAATAAGAATAATGACTGCCCTGCTGAAGTAGTTTAGGCATCTAAATGCTCAGAATAGTTATCTTGGCTTCAACGGTGATCAGGTAGGAAAATGATAACTACCTCAAACTATTCCATTGTCCAATTGATTCTTGCCTCAAACTGTTAGTAACCTATGCCTAGAAATGTATACATTGTATACAACATATACTGCATTGCAGCTCATTAAACCAGTAACAGTGGCAAAGTTAGAAAATGTAAAACAGTTTTTCATGAGTAGTCCTTCTGTCTTGTTCCATTCAGAACATTCAAGAGCTCTTTGGACAGCTGCTGTTGTGTTCCCTTACCATCTTATGCCTGGCTTCCAAAATTAATATCCATAAATTGGAACTTATTTCCTTTTTTCAAGATTTTGCCTTTAAATAAAAGTTATTGCTAACCGTGTGGTTGACCCAGACACCAGTGTTCCACATGTTCTTCCACTTACTACAGTGCTGCTCTGCTTCACCATATATTGTAAAGATGTACACATTTATACTAAGGTTACCAGCCTCAAGATGAAGCCTGGTGTTGTCCCATGACTAAAACTGATCTCCAGGCTACAGAGATCAGTTCCCCTTTATGGTATACCACAGAGTCTAGCAGATAAAGAAGTCCTAGAGTGGCTACTGGGGGTGGATGCCTAGAACTTCCACTTCTCAAATAGACTGCTATTGACTAGCATTCTGCTATGGATCTTCAGTGGGGCTTTTTCCCTTAACTCCAAAAGAAACCTGAAGAAAATTTTGAGTGGTTTTTGAGACTGAGTTGAACATCTGAACTTATGGATAGCAGACAGTTAACTAGCATGAATATTTAGGAGCAAGGTGTTAGTATAACTTACAAGTGATGTCAGATGGTAGGAAAAAGCAGGGTGAAGTAATATGAGGTGGTAAATTTAAAATTTGAATTTTCTGGGAGGAAGTGATGGGAGGAAATGACCTCACAGGAAGGGGAGGAGTTGGAGGAGCTCACCCTTGATCTTTACATGACACCACAGTATATGACATCACAATCCTGCTAAGTTACATTCCAAAACTCCATTCTGCCCATACACCACCCCAAATCCCCAGGAATTTCCCCAGCTAGAACTGGAAACCCTAATTTATACTAGTACATAGATTTACACATGGGTTGTAGACAATTCATTTACATACATTGTAAATAATGTTATCAGGACTGATTGTGACTTTTTAAGTTTTTACTGTTACCTCATATTATTATTGTATTGGCATGGTATCACACCAGTAGATTCTCCATTCCACACAAAGTTTCTTCACTTAGTCATGTTCTAGCTCACTGTTGCCTATTTAGCTCAGTTTTAGAGGTGAAAATTCTGAAATCCCCAGGCAAAAAATATATGTGAAAATCACTGATTCTGGTTGTTGGTGTGATTTTCTGAAACAGTCACACAATTTTTAGGATTCTTAACTATTACAAAACAAACTACCACAACACCAAAAATTGGGTGCTTACAGTCAGCAGAGCAGCTGTCTTGTTTTTCTTTGATTCTCCTGATTTCTCAGGCTCTAAATTTGTTTTCCAGACAATGGCAATTCTTCCTTCCATTTGGATCCTTGCTGGAGGGAAACAATAGTCCCCTCCTCCACCTGTGCTGCCCCTTGTCAGCTAAATCAGCTGCTGTAGCCATTAAAATTATATTCTTGGAGCTGACGTGTGACTCTGATCAATGTGGTGAACCCAGAGACAGCTATAAACAAATGAGTAAACAAACATATTATGTAGGTTAGCCCTGGAACTCCCAGGCCCTAGCCACTGCCTCCTCCTCCAGACATTCCATAAATAATTGTAGTACTAATTAAGGTATCCCTACAGTTAGTGGGCACCCAGTATGAAGACATGTGTCTCATAGCAACTGGATAATCAATTAATCATATGCAATCACAAACACACTTTTTAAAAAATGGATTATTTTCAAAGATTGGAGGGATGAGA